GACTGCGTGTGGTATGCAAGTGAAGCTTCCGCTCAGAGATTCGTCAGTCGATTGTGAGAAACAGGAGGAGAGACCACGAGATTCGTCACGTCACCAGGTGGTTGACGATAGATCCAGGGGAGATTCCCATGAAGAGGAGGAGAAGGATGACAAACACAGCTCGCGCGATTCTGAAGGGACAGGTTCAGTTGAGAATCCCAGTGAAGGTTCTTCATGGAAATCTTATCTGAGAAATCCACTTTCGCTAAGGAAGCAAGCCCATCTTAATGATTATGCTGCATGTGTAGAAGTCTTCAACATCCTCGCAGCACCCCAGACCTACTCAGAGGCAATCGAAAGCGATAAGAGTTCTGAATGGCGAAAGGCCATGGATTCCGAGTTGGCGTCCTTAAAAGAGAATCAGACTTGGGATTTAGCAGATCTCCCCAAGGGCGCGAAAGCTATTCCCTGTAAATGGGTCTTCAAGGTCAAGGAGACTCAAGACGGAAGAATCGAGAGATATAAGGCTAGGGTCGTAATCAAAGGCTTCAGCCAGCGCTACGCCATCGATTATAAGGAGACGTTCAGCCCCCGTGGCGAAACTAGCGACGGTTCGCTCAATCATTAGCGTGACCGCGAATGAGGGCCTTTATCTCGGACAATTCGATGTCACCACCGCCTTCCTGTATGGTGAATTGGAAGAGGAGATATATATGCAGCCACCCGAAGGGTATGAGACAAGCGAAGGTAAAGTCTGTAGGCTCAAACGAAGTCTATATGGTCTGAAGCAGGCCCCCCGTTGTTGGAATAAGAGGTTCATTACGTACCTCAAGAAACTCGGGCTCAGTGAGAGCGAGGCAGATCCTTGTCTCTTCATCCGGGAATCAGGCAAAGAAAAGTTGCTCCTTGCCATCTACGTCGATGACGGCTTGATCGCCGCTTCTAACGAGTCTACTCTCAGAGAATGTCTTGAAGGTTTGCGACTTGAATTTAAGATAACGTCGAAGGACGCAACTTATTTCCTGGGGATAGATATCAAGAGAGATGGCGATAACATAAAGATCAGCCAGCCTCTACAAGCCAGGAAGATTCTTGAAAAGTTCAACTTTGGTGAGAGCAAGCCTGTTGCGACTCCGATGATCCGCGAATCAGGGAAAGATGCGGATGAAGGTAAGTGTTCTGATTCGGAAGCTCCTGAAACCTTCCCTTATCGTCAAGCCGTGGGGGCGATAATGTATTTGATGCTCGGCTCAAGACCTGATCTGGCGTACAGCATTGGGGTCCTTTCGAGAACGCTCGAAAATCCTTCAAAAGAAAATGTTGTGATGCTGAAACGGGTTCTTCGATACATTGCCGGGACTATCAACTTCGAGATCACCTATTTTGGAACTGGAGCTGTTGCAAGTCTGGATGGTTATAGCGATTCAGATTATGGAGGTTGTCTCCACACCGGTCGATCCACCTCAGGTGTAGTGACCATGTTTGCGGGTGGAGCCATTTCTTGGTTCAGCCAAAGACAAGGATCGGTGGCCACATCTACCACAGAAGCTGAAATAATTGCTGCGAGTGAGGCAGCCAAAGAGATGATATGGCTCAAGAAGCTGTTCAAAGAGATAACTTCGTATGATGGGATTCCGACGATTTTTGTGGACAATGCCGCCGCGGTGAAGTTGTCCGTGAATCCCGAATTCCATCGAAGGACTAAGCACATTTCCCTTCGGCATTTCTTTGTTAGAGAAAAGGTTATCGAGGGAGAGCTGAAAGTACAACAAATTTCGTCTGAGAAGCAGCTAGCGGATATTCTCACCAAACCGCTCCTGAGGATCAGACACAAGTATCTTTGCCAGAGCTTGGGAATGTCGTAAGCTAAGGGCACTCGGTCTGCTCAACAAGGGAAAGTGTTGGAGTTATTGTTGAGCTGCCCTCGGATGACCAAGCATTCCCGCTCTCTATATAAATAAAGTCTCGAGATAGTAATTTTACTCTCTCAAAAGAACGAAGCAGCAACTGCTATTTCTCTATTGAAATCACAACTAACATATCCCTTACTCCCGAGTGATGTCGAATACGACTGAGTGACTCGATGAAGTCAACTCATTATCAGGAACTGAGATCATACCACTGGTGAGTCCACGACTATGACCGTCTTCAAGTGATATTCCGGAGGCGGGATTAGTCGATTCGAACTCCGATAGAAATATTCCTCACGACTCACGAATAGCTCAGATGAGGTCGAGCGAATGCTGGGATGATGCGGCCTTCCTTCGAATCTCGAACTCCGGATTTCGTTGAGCGGTGCCGAAAGATTCCGAAATTCGCCCCGAAGAAACCACCCCTAATCGTGGCTTTGAGCGAAACCCAGGGTCTCTCCGATGCTGCGGTTGTATAACACCCCATTAGAAGCGACCCCTCCTCCTCACTACCGATATGCACCTGTGGAGAGAGCCACAAAGAATGGCCCCCGATTACCGCCCGAGGGGTGAGATGCGAGCATGCCCGGACATTAGAATTCATTCCGAGTCGGGGAAAGTGTTGAGTCCCGACTTCGTTATTTCTGCGCCGCGGCAGAAGTCAGTCTCAATAAGAAGGCGGCCATTTTTGCCACGGGGATCTTTCTCCCCGAGCTGTCGCTTAGCACAGTCGTAGTGTCTCTTCGCTATACCGAGTCAGCATTCTAGACGATTCCCGAACCCAACATTGGCGCAGCCGACAGTTCTCAAAGTATGCCTGACGATCAAGCGGATGTGTTACGTCAGATAATCCAGGCTCTTCAACTCTTAACGGAGAACAACAGAAGAGGAAGAGAAAGTCAGTCTACCGAGGGTGAGCCTACAAGCAGGTCCGCTGTCCTGACACACGTCTTGACTCTCACGGGGAAGTTCACGCATGAACCCTCCAGCGACGTTACCTTCGAACAATGGTATCGCCGCAACGAGAACCTGTTAGAGTCACACTGCGAATCGGACACCGAAAGATGTCTGGTGATTCTACGAGCACTAGGTCAAGACGAGTACAGCAGGCTCTGCGCTCGAACCTCTCCACGTACTCCGGAGGCGTTCCCGTACAAGGAGCTGGTAGTCCTCTTAGAGAAGATGTTCACGTCTCGTCTCTCACTCTTTCGTCGTCGACACGATACGTTGCTGGGCGATCGATTGCCCCCAGGCTTATCTGGCGACGAGATTGTGGATTCGGCTAATCTCAAGGGCGACAAGTTCGAATTTTCCTCATTATCCCTGACTCAATTCAATATCTTCATTCTACTGCTTTCACTTTCGGACCCGTCGTACCAAGCGATACGCTTGGTAATAATCCGTGCATTGGATGAGAAACCCGACATGTCTTTGGATGATCTTCGAGTCAGTTCNCAAGCGACACGAGACACGTAAGA